TTTTAGCATAGAAAGTTTTACAAATTAGAATTATGCAAGGAGTGGAAGAGTATAGGATAAAAAGCGAGAGTTAAGAGAGAGTGAAGCAATGTAAAAATAGAGCAAAGAGAGAGTGGGTTGAGATGTATCAACAAAATTTGTTGAAATAAGAAAAATTTTGGAGTGAGATTAACATGTTAAGGAAGCCTAGAGAAACAAATGATTTGTCATTAAAAAAGAGAGTGAGATAATTAAATGGAGAGTTAGAGGTATGGGACAGTATGGAGGAATATTTGAGAATTGGTAAATGTTGATGAAGATAGGGGAAGCTGTGATTTCGTGTAAACATAGGAGGAATAACATCTTGTAGGAGAGAGGAAGAGCCAGTTGTTAGTGTGGGGGGGAAGTTCGTGAGGACAGTAGGTAAAATGAAGTGGGTAAGGCAGAAACCCGGGATAGATGGGATAAAGATAGAAAAGTTAAAATCAGGTGGGATTTAGTTTTGGAGTGTTTTGGTGCAATTATTTAATAAATGTAGGAAGAGGGTAAGGCACCTAGGGACTGGCAGAGAGCAGAGCAACGTTTCCTTGTATAAAGGCAAAGGGGATGAAAAGAGAGTGCAAAAATTATAGGGGGATAAGTCTGTTTGAGTGTCCCTGGTAAGTGTAGTAGATTTATAATTGAAAGAATAAAGAGTAAGACGGAGAATATGATTGCAATGAACAAGGAGCTTTAGGAAGGTAGGGGGAGTTTGGACCAGGTGTTTTACAGTGAAACAAATAAGTGAACAGTATTTAGATAAGAGCTATAGAGGTCTGTTTGTGGCATTTATGGATTTGGAAAAGCGTATGACAGGTGTGGATAGGGTGGGCAATGTTGCAGCTGTGCAAGTGTAATGGGTGTAGGAGGTAGATTACAGAAATGCAGTGAAGAGTTTTTTAACGAGGATAGTAGGCTCAATTAAGAGTATGTAGAAAAGAGGGAAATTTTTTCCCAGTAAAATTAGGCCTTAGACAAATGTGTGAATGTCACCGTGCTTGTTAACAATATTTTATAGATGGGGTTGTAAGAGAAGGTAATGCAGGGTCATGCAAGAGGCGTGGAGTTAAAAGATAAAGAATCACACACAAATTTGGTAGTTGGTCACAAGCTGCTCTTTGCTGATGAACACTGTGGCTCTTGGGAGAATTCTGAGAGAAGCTGCAGAATAGGTGGATGAATTTGGTAGTTGTGCAAAAGAAAAAATTAAAGGTGAATACAGGAAAGAGTAAGGTTATTGAGGATAACAAAAAAGATTAGGTGATGAAAGACTGAATATCAGATTGAGGGAAGAGAGTATGGAGGAGGGAACGTATTCAATATTTGGGAGTGGACGTGTTCAGCGGATGGGTCTATGAAAGATGAGGTGAATCATAGAATTGATGAGCGAAAAAAGAGTGATGGTTCACTTAGGAGTCTGTGGAGACAAAGAACATTGTCCTGGAGTGCAAAGAGTGGGAATGTATGAGAGTATGAGATTTAACCAACAGCTCTTGTATGGGTGTGAAGCATGGGGTATGAATGTTGCAGCCGAGGAGAATGCTGGAGGCAAGTGAGATGTCATGTCTGAGGGCAATGTGGGGTTTTAATAATGCAGAAAATTTCGAGTTTGGAAGTTAGGAGGAGGGCGGGATTACCCAAAATGTTGTCCAGAGGGCTGAGGGAAAGGGTTTTTTGGGGGGTTCGGACATGTAGGAGAATGGGCGAAACAGAATAACTTTAAGAGTGTATCAGCTGTAGTGGGAAAGGGAAAGGGGGGTGGGGTCGGCCTAGGAAGGGTTGGGGGGGAGGGGGTAAAGGAGGTTTTGTGTGCGGGGGCTTGGACTCCGCAGGATGCGTAGGTGTTTGATGGAGTGAATGGAGACAAATGGTTTTTATACTTTACGTGCTGTTGGGGTGTGACAAGTAAAATTTATGAAGGGTTAGGGGGAAAAAGCGGGGCCGGGCTTGAGTCCTGGAGTGGGAAGTCAGTGCCTGCACTTGAAGGAGGGGGTTAATGTTGCAGTTTAAAAATGTGTGTAAAGCACCCCTTTTGGCAAGACAGTGATGGAGTGAATGATGGTGAAAATTTTTTTTTTTTCGGGGCCACCCTGCCTTTGGGGGGAACGGGCCCGTGTGATAATAAAAAAAAAAAAATAAATTTTTTTAAGATTCTTTTTTTGCAAAATTAAAAAAAAAAAACATTAACATTAACGAAAAAAATATATCTTTAAAACGATAAGAGAAAATTTCAGAAGGGCTTTATTTTTTAAAAGAGTTTGTAATTTACCTTTTACATATTCGGCACGACATTTTTATATATATATATATATTAAATTATTAATAATTTTAATAATATATATATATATATAAATATAAATTTTAATATATAAATATATATATATATATATATATATATATTAAAGTTTTGCCGAATAGGCAAATTTTGCGATCTTGGCTTAAATAGCAACTTTTCATTTGCCAAATAGGAAAAGTTGAAAATTTGTGTATGCAATAATTTCGCCAAAATCATTCTGAACCTAACGAAAAAAATATATTTCATTGTGTTTGTTTAGTAAATTTAAAATTTCTGTAAACCCAAAACTAAAATATATTTAGTTGGGTTAGGCTAAAAAAATTGCTCTTGTTATAATAAGGTTAGGTAAGTTTTCTAAGAACTTTGGTGCAAAATTAAAATTTTTACATTAAACATAATGAAAAAAAATATATCTTTAAACGTATTAGATAAAATTTCAAAAAGGACTTAATTTTAAATGAGTTCTTGCTAATTGACCAGTTTTACATATTCGGCACGACTATATATATATATATAAATATATATACTATATATATATATATAAATATATATATTATATATATATATAAATATATATATTTTATATATATATATAATATATGTATAAATTTTTGTATATATTATATATATATATTTTATATATCTATTATATATATATATATATATTATTTATATATATATATATATATATATATATTTATATTCGTGCCGAATAGGCAGAACTTGCGATCTTGGCTTAAAAAAGCAACGCTCATCTTGCCATATAGGACAAGCGAAAATTTGTTATGCAGTAATTTAGCCAAATCATTCTTAACCTAACGAAAAAAATATATTCACTGTGTTTGTTTAGTTTTATATTACTGTAAACAAAACTAAAATATATTTAGTTGGGTTAGGCTAAATAAATTGTTCTTGTTGTAAAAAAGGTTAGGTAAGTTTTCTAAAATTCTTTTGGAGCAAAAATTAAAAATTTTAAAATTAACATTAATGAAAAAAATATATCTTAAATTGTAAGAGGAAAATTTTTAGAAAGGACTTAATTTTTAAAAGAGTTCTTGCTAATTGACCAGTTTTACATATTCGGCACGACATATATATATATAATTATAATATATTAATATATTAATATATATTATATATATATTATAAATATATATATAATTTCTTTCTTTCAACACACCGGCCGTATCCCACCGAGGCGGGGTGGCCCAAAAGGAAAAACGAAAGTTTCTCCTTTCACATTTAGTAATAATACAGGAGAAGGGGTTACTAGCCCCTTGTTCCTGGCATTTTAGTCGCCTCTTACAAACACGCATAGCTTACGGAGGAAGAATTCTGTTCCACTTCCCCATGGAGATAAGAGGAAATAAACAAGAACAAGAGCTAGTAAGAAAATAGAAGAAAACCCAGAGGGGTGTGTATACATATGCTTGTACATGTATGTGTAGTGTGACCTAAGTGTAAGCAGAAGTAGCAAGACGTACCTGAAACCTTGCATGTTTATGAGACAGAAAAAAAACACCAGCAATCCTACCATCGTGTAAAACAATTACAGGCTTACGTTTTACACTCACTTGGCCAGGACGGTAGTACCTCCCTGGGCGGTTTGCTGTCTACCAACCTACTACCTAGAGGTATATATATATATATATATATATATATATATATATATATATATATATATATATATATATTTTATATTATATATATATATATATATTAATATATATATAATTAACCATATCTTTTCTCTTTATACTCAAAATCTAATAAGGTGCTTTCTGTTCAGTTTTTCAGGCCAAGCTACCCTAAGAAAATAGTATTTATCAGAACCAACATTTGTCTTAACTCTCCTGATAAATTAGACACATGGGCAACACTTGGGTATCTTTATGAGGAAAACGTTTCGCTACACAGTGGCTTTATCAGTCCTATACAAAGAAGAATGGTGAAGATCAGAAGAAGTTTGAGGTAAATCAGTCTCTCAGACCTGAAGTCCAGGTAATCAGTCCATCAATTTTGAAAAGAACACAGCATATGCACGAAGAAGTGACTTACATACTGTAGACAAGGTGAGGTGACGCAGTCGTAGGTAATCACACTGGACAAATCCACAGGTGGAAATAAGTAATGCCTATAGGTTAGACAAGTGAAGAATTCCCTGTATCAAGATCCGAAGCTGTTGCTAGGCTCTCCACCAACTCCAAGGCGAGGGACTCATTACCTCATCTTTTGTATATACTTCTTCACATGTCCTTGTATTGTACTGATAAAGCCACTGGTTAGAGGAACGTCCTACATTAAAGATACCCAGATGTTGCACATGTGTCTAATTCATCATCTTGTCGGTATTATATACCATTCATGTACAAAAGAATCTTTGCTTGATAAACGGAGATACAAAACTCATCTTAAAATTCATTACATAAACACCGATCATTTACAACAAAATATTTTCCAAACATAGGTAGCTTTTAAATGAACTTTCGTAATTTAAGAAAACAAGTAATTACACCATAACTCAAGATTAATAAATTATTCCGACTCCAGTGACAGCCAATCAGCCGTTTTTTAATTAACTGTATATTTGGTGCAGAAAATATATTTATATTTAAATTCGAGGTTAAATCATAAATCTGAATCCAGTAGCAGATGTTGAGTGACGGCGGAATGAATGCTTACTTACATTGACGACTCCCATTGAGTTGGAGAAACTCATCTGCGTCAGGAGGAGGAAGAGTGCACCGTTGAGGTTGGTGATGCCATCCTGGTTGGTCTCCTGGTTCAAGAAGATCACGCCCACTAGAAGCGCGATCAACTGATGGGTACACAAGTGGATTTAATACAGCTTGTAGCTACAAGTTTGCATATTGGATTTGTGAACACAGCCCAAGAGACGGAGGAGCTCATGCAAAGACGTCCTCAATTAGTGTTTTTCTCTGACTGAAGGAAAGTAATGTGAAACTCAATTTACGATATGAGGCAGTTAAATCGAACAAATTTATAAGCGCAGACACCAATGATCATAATGCTGGCTAAAAGACTTAATTTAAATTAAATTTATTTATAAATTTAAATGAATAATTTTACACACACACACACACACACACACACACACACACACACACCACACACACACACACACACACACACACACGGGAAAGAGACATTACCAGAAAGTCAAGGAGAAAAAATAAATCAAGGAGTTCTGGACACAATGCAAAACAAATGGAGAAAAGATGAAGGAACTAATGAATAAGCAAGATAACTCAAAGAAAATGGAAGCAGACTATGTTGCTCTGTGACTTCTGAAAGACAGAGAAGAAACACTGCGAGCCACTGGAAGAAATCTAAAACAAGCCAATAGAAACGGTGACATTGCCAGATATATATATATGAGTAAGAGAGCAAATGTAGTCCTAATATTTGGAAAAGGTAACAGGCAGGTAGAATTAAACTACAAGTCAACAGTTTTGACTATGTAAGGTGATGAAACACATGATCGCAATAAAAATGGCTCCGCATCTGACAATGAGCGATTTAATAAACAACAATTATCAAGTTCTAGATGGTAAATCCTGTACTCACAAACCTGCCTGAGTACTCTGACACGGTAACAGAAATGATGACAAAGAGAAAGCAATGAGTGGACCACAAAAATGCAGTTGGCACGGTAAGATAAAGCCGAGAACAGGAGGAGCAGGCAGGAATAACGTAGAAGGTATTGTAATTTTTCAGAGTGTACCTAATAGGATGGAGACAAATAATGATTCCATCTAAGAGACATCAGACTGGGAAAGTGAATATGTGGGGTTCCACGAAGTTTTGTTCTTGGAGCACTAACATGCTCACTGTTACTGGGTACCTGATGTTTGAAGCACTGTTGGCTTACTCTCTTCGAAGTATGCTGACATTCTTCGAAGAGAGTGGGGTAAGTGTTCTAAATTGGCCTGGAAACTCTACTGACCTCAACCCAACTGAGAATCTATGGACAATAACCAAATGCAGGATTACGAGATAGAACTGTTCAAATGTGTAGAAACTAATTGCTGTTACTATTAGGACCTGGTACCACGACGAGGAACTTGTCAAAATGTGCTTAACATTGGTCAATTCTATGTCAAGCTTGTAGCAATACCTATAAAAGCAAAGGACAGTCATATCTCTTATTAAGTCAATTATCTGTCATATCATTGCCGTGTATTTTTCAAATAAACATTAATTTCCAAATAAATGTCTTATTTCATCACTGTCCCAATTAAAATGAAAATAAAAAATGCTGAAAAAATATTGAATTTTTAAACACTGTCGTGAATTCTCACATTATCAAGGAAATGTAAAAAAAAATAGAATAGAAGAAGCTTATAAGGCTGAGACATCACTTCACATACGACCCTATACCCGACCCAGTATTATGCGGGTGTGAGGGTCAAGATATATGTCAAGTGAAAATTATGCGGGTCATGTCATGCACTGCTTAAATTCCTCACAAATTTTATTATTAACGAATCTAATTTATATAAACCTGAACTACTATTCCCCCTCAAGGGAGGTTCCTTGACGCTGGTGAGGGGCTCTTGATCTAGGGCATTGGATCTGTGCTCCGGTTCCCTGAATTGAGCCTGAATACCTTCCATCCCCCCCCACATGCGCTGTATAATCCTACGGTTTTAGCGCTTCCCTGTGATCATAATAATAATAATAATAATGAACTACTATTCATATTAAAATCATTATTTTTATGAAGATTCAGGCTTGATACAACTTTCTAGGACTTTAGTAAACCAACTGGGTGGTTAAACTCTCTCATATGAATAAACAGAGAGTTAGACTATTATACAGTTATGCTGCTATATTTATGCTGTTGTAATCTTAGTTCAAGACTTTATCCAGTTTGATCCTGCTAAACTTTATTGTATTTTTAAAAGGGAATCTTAAAGACTCAGCCATCAGCATTTTTTTGGAGAATTCTTTATCAATTTTTTACTGCATCGAGAATTAAAAAAAACTTGGATTTTAAAATTCTTAAGTAGAGAAGGTATATCAAGGTTTTCATGGTAAAGGAGAGCCAACATATTCTTGGTTGAATATTCTTGTTTGTTCTTTTTCGATTTGATAGCTCTAGGCCTTTCGTGTTGAAATCAACACATCATCAGAAGCTTGGAATATTGCTGAAATGAATAGGAAGATCAAGAAGTTTCATTCAGGGTAACGATTCTATCTCAACTGAGGTAGATGACGCCAGGCAGGCCAGCGCCGAGTGCCAGGAAAAAATGAAAGCAGAGTACTAAAGCAGTAGAAAACAATCCAGCACACAAGACTCACGAAATCGTAATACCATGATTGTAAACAAACTACGGCATGGGTGGGGCTCAAACTCACGATTAGTGAGTCGTAAAACTCCAGGGAGTTTGAGTTCCAGCCACCAGCACTAATAATGTTGTGATGACTTTGCGAACATAACATCAGTGACATTTCAATTATCAAAAATTCGGTCAGATTTCGATACAATATAAATGACTATGTTCTAAATGTAAATATATGTGACAACTGTTTTAGGAAAATTCTGTAATATTAAGGAAAATGGGTCTAGAGCTGAATCACTTAAAACAAGAGGGCGATGTCTATATAGCTTATCAAGAGGAAGACATCTATAGTTCATCTATTCCACCAAGCTCTTGAGAAGACATTGGTCTAACACAAGAAAGAGCAGGAAAATGCCTTAATTTCTCGGTATGGAACTATGACGCTTAAGACTATTGAAAGCATTCGCATAGGAATCCAGCTTCAGGTTATGCATGATGGCCTCAGTTATAAACGAATCAAATTTGAATAAGCTGAAACTATTATTATATAATGAACGTTTATATCTTATAAAAATATTTTTTTCAAGCCATGAGGTACAAGGAACTAGGTCTCTGGCTTTCGACCAATTTGCAAGATTGTTACAAACCCTGATGTACATCAAAATGGTATACAATACCGACAGGTTGTTAGGTAAGACACATATGCAACAGTTAGACAACTTTATTCCGAAACGTTTCGCCTACACAGTAGGCTTCTTCAGTGAAATACAAAAAGTGGGCGGTGATGGATGATTACATGTCTTCACATTTACCTGCCCTGCTATTTCTGATTCGATGAAGAACCTACTGTTTAGGCAAAACGTTTGGGAAAAGTTTTAACTGTTGCAAGGTTTCCCTAACAAAACCCTGATGGGTTGAATATTTCTGTAGTTTCCAGTTTTTGGTACGAATTTTGGGTGTTGTTTTGCCAAACACAATTTTTACCTATCTTTTCCCATGTAAGAGAGTTGCGCCATTACAACCAAAACCCTTTAAAAGCACCGCCAACACAGGTTAAAAGGGGAATTGTTGATAAAATGCTTTTAATAGCGTAAATTTTTAAAAACTACTTAAATGTTGAATTTTTACAGGGCAGTCGGAGGACAGAAAAAATTTCATTGTAGGGGAGAACCACCATTCAAACGGGGGTATTACCCTAGGTTCAGTCTTAGGAAAGTTTCCAAGCTGCCACAAGCCGTTCTACAGCCCTTAGGAAAGGTTTTTTCTAGTAATATGAAAGATTTTCTTAATTTCCTTATCAAGAAACCGGGGCTGCACTGTAACGTGGGTTCTAGAAACTATGAGAAAGACACCTTTCATTCTTGTTTCAGGGTAAGTATAGTGGTATAAAGAAAACTTAGGGGTCTTCCAATACGTTAACTTAAACACTTCAACCCGGTGGATCAGAACATCTAAGTATGAAAGTTGAAGTCTACTTGTTTCCCAGAGTAAATTTATATTCGAGACAAAAGTTAAGCTTTTTTTGGAAAAAGGGTTTTTAAGGCCCAATCATTCGCCAAAGACACAAGAGTCTCCACATATCTGAACTAAAGCTCACGGGGAAAGGGGAAAACTTTCAGCAGTTAGGTCTAAAAAAAATTCATAGAATTTGCTTAATGGGGGAGACAATGGCCCCATACCCTTCCCTCCCTTTGAGTAATATTTCCCCTTCAAATTAAAATTTTATCCAAGCCCCCAACAACTTAATAAACTCAAAATGGTGTTTTATCGAACAGCAGGGAAAACTTTTAATTTTTCCCCAAATAGAATAAAAATCAGGAACCAGACAGGGGTAAACAACTCAGTGACATCAGAACTTACTAATTAAAATCATTGGACATTTCAAATTATGCGGTTTGTCGTGAGATCAACATTCTTTTTACGGGGTTTCAGAAATTTGCCAGACATTGGATTTTTAAAAACTTTATAACGATTTGGACAATTTAAAATTCACTGTTCACACCGAGCTATTATAGGTCTCGCGGAAACCGCTTATGATTATATCAAACTATACATATAAGGGAGTGTCTCAAAAAGTAACTGACAGTTGTTTAACAATTCCCGTTTCCCTCTCAAAAAGTTCTAGTTATTTTTTAAACTTACTATTTACCTGGTCCATCGGATTTTTTTAAGGGGGCACGTAGTTCCCCGGGTCTTCTAATAACAGTTCATTTTTCCACTATAACTTCTTGCCAAAATTACTCTAATTTGCTTTGCCAAATTTCGTAAGGGAAGTAAAGATTTTTCCTTTTTCTGGGAGACTTTTCAAAACTTTGAGGGCAATTTTGGTTCCAAGGTCGAGAAAAGCCCCCCATGCCATGCCCTTTCCAAAAGTTGAATACTACAAAAAGGGTATTAAAAAATTGCTTACTATACCTTTTTGCCAAAAAAAGAATCATACAAAGACCACGCTATATTTTCAGTTTTATGAGGAACATAAGTAAAGGAAATCAGAAGTAGGGCACGGCCAAAGGGAAAAAGTCCAAAACACACCCAACTCAATCCCCCCATTTTTTCTGTCTATTTTTTTTTTAAAAAAAAAAAAAAAATTAACCCTGTTAAGCGCTAAACCCCCGCGGGCATTCACTCAAGGACGTGTTGGAGGCCGATCCCCCGTTGGGGAGCAGAATGAAAACCTTTTTCGGAGTTTAACCCTTTTAATAATTTATTTAACGTTCTTTTTTTATTATTTTGAAACAAAGAATTTTAAAAAAATAAAAATTAAAACTTTTTTTCGAACTAAAGGAAATGAACGTAATTTGACCTTAAAACTGCAGAGCACATTGACAAAAGGTTTTACCTTCTTTTAAAAAAAAAAAATAAAAAAACTTAATAGTTTTGGGAAGCCTTGATGAGAAACCCGGTCGCGTCATTTGTAGTACAGCCCCCCTCAGAACGCCTCAAAATGTTCCCACCCTCCTGCCCTTTTTAGGGCGACTTGTTCACCTTAAATATAACGGGATCACATAACACAGTCGACTAAAAAAAGAATATTTGATAAAGTACAAATTTAAATCAAAATTTTTAGAGTCTTGAACAACGAAACGTTATAAAAAAAATCGTTGATAATAATAAAGCTTTTTTTTTCATATACAGCATAGCACGAAACTGAAAGTCTTACTCTCTGATATGTGATCTATACAATATGTGGCATAAAAAACCCCTTTTAAGTGACCCAAATCTCTCACAGGTTACTAGTACCATGGTGTTTAGGCCCCTCACAAATGCCCAAATCCCCCACAGATACCCGTTCCCTCACAGGTAAACCCAAATCCACACAGGTAAATCAAGGGTGATCAGTCCCCCACAGTTTTACCAGTTCCCCAAGGGGTGACCCAGTCCCACACAGGGACCCAGTGAAAATGGAAATGAGGTCGTTCCCCGAAGTGCCCTTTCTACCTGAACCCCGTAGCTGGTGTAAACTGGTTCAGTCAGACCCAAATGAAAAGTACCACGGGAAGTGACCAAACCCGAAGTGGGGAAAGGAGGCCTTTGAACCTTAGAGAGAGATAGAACACCTGTCATGGTCTTTAAAATCTTTTGGTATGTGAAGAAAGGAGTGGTGGTTGGTAATCCTCAAACTCGAGTCTTGTTATGAGACTCTAGCCTCCATGGAGGAATACGGTATGAGGTTTGTTCCCATGGGAGGTGACCTCGGATATATAAACTGTGGGGTGCGCAGCTACTTTGTGGAGTTAGCCGAAGCCAGTGTGTATAGGGCTTTCAGGACCTGTGGCTAGATGCTGGCTGGTTTCCTAACAGTGAGCTGTTCTAAGAACTATATTCCGTAAGTGTATACATGTATTCGATCTCGTCAGCTAATTGTATTCCCCAGTCTCAGTATTCTTGTATCATACCTGAACTCAATATTCTTTCATCGTACCGTCTCAATATTCTTGTATTATTCCCAGTTATCTTAACATCAGACTACCTTCTCTTCATTGTTGTATAAGTGTTTATGAAGCTTAAATTGAGAGGAAAAATGTGTTCACTGTCCTCATCTTTTACTTTGTAATTCATAATGAGGTAAAAGTTAAGTGAAGGTGACTAAAGTCAGCAGTAGTGTAGTAAGAACATAAGAACGAAGGAACACTGCAGAAGGCCTACTGGCCCATGCGAGGCAGGTCCAAGTCTTCTACCGGCTTAAGCCAATGCACCCAACCTAGTCAGGTCAGGTCACATTGACTTAAGGGAGGAAGACGGCAACCGACCTGGTAGCACAAGCTATCAGGTCCAACTCACACCTACCCACATCCACTCATGTATTTATCCAACCTATTTTTAAAGCTACACAAAGTTCTGGCCTCTATAACTGTGCTTGGGAGTTTCTTCCACTCATCCACAACTCTATTACAAACCAGTACTTTCCTATATCCTTCCTGAATCTGAATTTTTCCAACTTAAAACCATTGCTGCGAGTCCTGTCTAGGCTAGATATTTTCAGCACACTATTTACATCCCCTTTATTTATTCCTGTCTTCCATTTATACACCTCAATCATATCTCCCCTAATTCTACGTCTTTCTAGAGAGTGCAGATTCAAGGCCCTTAGTCTAGCCTCATAAGGAAGGTTTCTGATACATGGGATCAACTTTGTCATCCTCCTTTGTACATTTTCCAGAGCATTTATATCCATTCTGTAATACGGTGACCAAAACTGTGCAGCATAATCTAAATGAGGCCTAACCAAGGATGTATAGAGTTGAAGAACAACCTGAGGACTCCTATTATTTATGCTTCTTGATATGAAGCCAAGGATTCTATTAGCTTTATTGCGAACACTTATGCACTGTTGTTTTGGTTTCAGATTACTGCTAACCAGAACTCCTAAATCTTTTTCGCAATCCGTAATATTAAGATCTACATTATTTAGTTTATATGTGGCATGGTTATTGTCCTGTCCAACATTTAGAACTTTGCATTTGTCTATATTAAACTGCATCTGCCACTTCTCCGACCACTGCATCAGTCTATTCAAATCTTCCTGGAGTGCTCTAATGTCCTCGTCAGAGTGAATTCGACTGCCTATTTTGGTGTCATCGGCAAACTTGCTTATGTCGCTCTTTATACCCTCATCTATGTCGTTTATGTAGATTGTGAACAACAGGGGGCCCAACACTGACCCCTGTGGAACACCGCTCGTGACGCTTCCCCACTCTGATTTCTCCCCATTTATGCAAACTCTCTGCTGCCTATTTGTCAACCATGCCTCTATCCAAGAAAAAATTTCTCCTCCTATTCCATGTGCCTTAATTTTCCTCAATAGTCTCTGTTGTGGGACCCTGTCAAAAGCCTTACTGAAGTCCATATACACAATATCATATTCATTACCATGATCTACCTCCTCAAATACGTTAGTGAAAAAAGTTAATAAATTCGTAAGGCAGGAACGCCCTTTTGTAAAACCATGCTGAGATTCGTTGATTAATTTATGCTTTTCAAGGTGGCTACGAACTGCCTCGGCAATTATTGATTCCATAAATTTTCCCACTATGGAGGTTAGGCTTATTGGTCTATAGTTCGAAGCTAAGGACCTGTCACCTGCTTTGAAAATAGGTATCACATTTGCCATTTTCCACTTATCTGGCACCATGCCAGTTTGTAGTGATATGTTGAAAAGATTAGCCAAAGGTTTGCTAAGCTCCTCTTTACATTCCTTTAGAACCCTTGCATACAGTTCATCAAGGCCTGGTGATTTGTTAGGTTTTAATTTATCTATTTGCCTAAGGACCATGTCACTTGTGACCCTAATCGTGCACAGTTTATTATCATCCTGTTCTACATAATTTATCATTTCTGGAATATCGCTGGTATCATCCTGTGTAAAAACTGAGAGGAAGTGTGTTAAAAATTCTACACATTTCCTTATCACTGTCAGTGAGCTGACCCGAGGAACTTTTGAGTGGGCCTATCTTGTCCCTGATCTTACTTCTGTATACCTGAAAGAATCCTTTTGGGTTAGTATTCGATTCTCTTGCAACTTTAACCTCATAATCTCTTTTTGCTTTTCAAATTCCCTTTTTTATTTCTCTCTTTAACTGAATATATCGATTTCTTAATTGCCCCTCTCCTCTTTTGATTTGCCTATATATGCCTCTCTTTTGACGAATCAGATATTTAATCTATTGTTCATCCATTTAGGATCATTTTTGTTTGATCTGATTTCCCTATTTGGAACATAATTTGACTGAGCAGCTAGAACTATGCCCTGGAAAGCGTCATATCGGCAACCATCACCACCTCCTGACCCCTTAGTCAGGTCATTCCAGTTCAGGCCACCTAAGTAATTTTTCAGTCCTATGTAATCAGCCAAGCGAAAGTCAGGGACAGAGACTTGATTGCCATTATTAGGGAATTCCATGATATATTAAAACTGAGTGATTTGTGATCAACTTTCCCCAAGCTCATCATTAACCTCAAGATTATTAATTAGTGTTTCCCTACTGGCAAGAACCAAGTCAAGGAGGTTATTTTCCCTAGTTGGCTCTGTCACAAACTGTTTTAAAAAACAATCCTGGATCGTATCAAGAAAGTCACCTGAATCTAAATTTCCTGTCAAATTGCTCCAGTCAATCTGTCTATAGTTGAAATCTCCCATTAGCACAACATTTTCGTATGTAGATGCCTTACGAATTTCGTCGCATAGAAGTTTACTGCACTCCCTATCAAGATTTGGGGCCCTGTAAATCACACCCAAAACCAGCTTTTCTCGGCCCTCGAGAAGCTGCAACCAAACAGATTCAGTGGCCGACGCTTCTAATTTTATATCTTGTCTAACACAACAATTTAAATTGTCTCTGACATACATCGCTACTCCACCACCCTTCCTGTTGACCCTGTCAGTGTGGAATAATTTATAGCCTTATATGTGACATTCAGAGGGCATCTCTCCATCTTTCAGATTGAGCCAGGTCTCTGTTATAGCAATAATATCTATGTTTCCTGCACTTGCAATTAATCTTAGCTCATCTATCTTATTTCTTACATTCCTGCTATTAGTATAGTAAACCTTAAGGGAGCTAGTCCCTTGCTGCCCTCTGCTGTCCCTCTCTGTTTGCTGACCTGATCTATTGTCTTTATTTATAACTTCATGCTGAATGCCTTTTATACATTTACTGTTTCCAACCCTAGTGTTGCAACCTGCTTGTTTCCCACACACACCCATACCTCTATCTTCTGGAAGGTGAGGCGGTATAGTCACCGCTGCACCTCATCTTTATTTGTAAAACAAGGTTCTTTCTTCCTACTCCTCCGCTCTGATATATGATGAGGTGACCTAGTCCCACACAGGTGACCTAGTCCCACACAGGTGACCTAGTCCCACACAGGTGACCTAGTTCCACACAAGTGATCTAGTCCCACACAGGTGACCTAGTCCCACACAGGTGACCTAGTTCCACACAGGTGATCTAGTCCCACACAAGTGACCTAGTCCCACACAGGTGACCTAGTGTCCGCCTTCCCTTTGCTTACATGAACGTGGTTGGGCGAGACACCATTGGCATCTGAGAAAGACTTCTTATTCTCAGCGACGGCGTAAGCGACTTGTTGTCCCGAGGTGCTGCTGAGGAAGGCGTTGCAGGTGCTGTCCACCCTCGTGCGGCACTCAGCCTCATTGCCGGCTTCGATGGCCAGCTCCGAGATGAAGAAATCTGCCGGATTGTAGTTCTTGGGACACGACCTTCCTAAGCTGAAAAGAAAGAACATAAGAACATAAGAAAGAAGGAACACTGCAGCAGGCCTACTGGCCCTTGCGAGGCAGGTCCAAGTCTCCTACCGGCTTAAGCCAATGCCCCAACCTAGTCAGGGCAGGTCACATTCACTTAAGGAAGGAACACGACAACTGACCTAGTAGCACAAGCTAGTCAGGTCCAACTCACACCCATCCACACCCACTCATGTATTTATCTAACCTATTTTTAAAATTACACAACGTTTTAGCCTCAATAACTGTACTTGGGAGTTTGTTCCACTCATCCACAACTCTATTACCAAACCAGTGCTTTCCTATATCCTTCCTGAATCTGAATTTTTCCAACTTAAAACCATTGCTACGAGTCCTGTCTAGGCTAGATATTTTCAGCACGTTATTTACATCCCCTTTATTTATTCCTGTCTTCCATTTATACACCTCAATCATATCCCCCCTAATTCTACGCCTTTCTAGAGAGTGCAGATTTAGGGACCTCAGTCTATCCTCATAGGGAAGATTTCTGATACATGGGATCAACTTTGTCATCCTCCTTTGTGTGTTTTCCAGAGCATTTATATCCATTCTATAATACGGTGACCAAAACTGTGCAGCATAATCTAAATGAGGTCTAACCAAAGATATATAGAGTTGAAGAACAATCTGAGGACTCCTATTATTTATGCTTCTTGATATGAAGCCAAGGATTCTGTTAGCTTTATTGCGAACACTTACACTGTTTTTTGGGTTCGATTACGCAAACCGGGGCCTCCAAAATCTTTTCGCAACCGAAATATTAAGATCTACTTTAATTTTAGTTTATTTTGGGGGGGTTATTTTTCCTTCCAACATTAAAAACTTTGTTAGGTAAACACATATGAAACATTAACAATTTTAAATTCCGAAACGTTTTCGCCTACACAGTAGGCTTTTCAGTCGAAACAGAAAGGGGCAGGAACATAAGATGTAAAGACATTAATCAGCCATCACCCTTAAAAGTCGTAAATTTTTTGAGTTGTCATCCCTCGGGTGAGAATTCATTCCATAGTCGGGAAAACTACTGAAGATCAACGAACGACAAACAAAGTTCAGGAAAGACCCAAATGGATGACGGGAAGGCGGGACGCGAAAATTGCTGGAGGGGATGTTCTTATAGAAAAAGAGCCAGGGTTTAACCCAGCACTAACGATCTGGACAGACATTAGAAAACACAACAGCTCTTCTGTTGGGATTCCGTGGTATGGGAAGGGGACAGACGATAACACGGAAGGAAGGCTTGTTTTGTAGTAAAGAGCCGGGGCAAAACCCACTGGGCACTGGAGGCGTGAAGAGGGCTTTTGGGGACAAAGGAAAGCAACTGCAGACTGCTCCTACTGAATGCTACGGGCTAGGTAAAAGAGCGGGTTTTGGACTCGGGTGTTGGAAGGTGTTGGTTTTGGCTACACTTCGCTGGTTTGGGCACTCTGATTTTGAAGTTCTCTTGGACATTGGAAAAGTTGCTTTCTGAGTTGGAGCAGTTCAGATTCTCACGATAAGATAGTCTTTTCAAAAGGAATTTGGTGGGGGGGTTTGGTGCGGGGTTACTAACAGCTCCTTCTTTCTTAAGTACTATCCGCCCTCATTTCGGTTGGGGGGTTGGGGTGGTGTAAAAGGGTTAGAGACCCAAAAAAGGGTTTGGCTTAGGAATTTTTTGGGTGTTTCTTCTCACTTATTTCCGTCTTTGTCCGGGGGTTGTTCTAATGTTTCTGGACTATTTCGTCTCTGTGACGTTTTGAGAGAGGCGGGGAGTTTTGGGGTCGTGTGATTTGTTGGCGGGTGGTGGGTGGTGAGAGGTCAGTAGACGGTGGGGGTTGGTTCGGAGAAAGGGTCTTGGTCAAAACAGAGACCGGGGGTTGAGGTGAAGTTAACAAATCGGGAAATTTAGCTTAGGGCTTGTGAGGTGGCGATCGGAAAGTTGAAGTTTGGCAGTTTTTTTTTAGGAGAAACATTCATTGATTGTCTGTTGAAGAGCCGGGGTTTGCAGCTTTATTAAGGTGTGCATACAAAACAGTATAGCACTTGGGGTGAACAGCGTCAGGAAGAGCAAGGGGGGCTGGGTGGTGGAGAGATTGTTGGTAGCTTGAAGGATTCGGTGGGACTATTGAATTTTTTCAAGGGGGCTATGTTGGGGGGATTTTGGGGTTTTTCTTCTTGGTTTCTTCAATGATTTTCTTAGACAGGACTTTTTTACTAGAGGGCATTTTTCTGCAAGGGGTGGTGAGTACCCCGCAGTTGAGGCAGGGGGAGAGGTAGTGGTATAAACATTCCTTAAGCAGCCGCTTTACCGCATTTTGTGCATACTTTTTCCTTTCAAGGGCCCAAGCGTTGAGTGGTGATAGGGGTACAGGGCCCGCATGGGGAGATTGGGGGAAAACGTTCGGGTTCTATGTACTTTGGGTGGGTATGATAGTAGGAGATAGCAGGGCCCTCAACAGTGCCTAGTAGCCACTCGATTTGGGGAAAAATTTTGCGTCATTGTAGAGGCGTGGGGGTTTTGGATATTTCAATCGACGCCCAGGGATTTTTTTTCCCCATAGAGGCTTTAGACCTCGTATAAAGAAGTGACGATTTGTCCAGCCGTTTGACGAAAAAGAACGTTTTTGCCACAAAAAAGGTGAGGGAATGGGAACTGTCGGGCTCTGAGGGTTTTTTTTAAAAAGTGTCGGCGATCACTTTGTGGCTTCAAATCTCGTCAGACGACGAATGATCTTTCGCGAGTTTTATGGTATCAACTCGCAAAGCTCTTCATCGTCGCTGACCACATTATGAAGCCCCAAAGCTATCGCCGAACTTATAAAACCCCCAGAGACCACAGTTTTAAACCCTCCCCCTTTCACTTTTTGCTGGCGAAACGTTCCGTTTTTTGTCAAACGGGGGACAAACTCGTCACTTCTTTTTTCAACCCAGGATCTCAAGACCTCTATCGAGGACAAAAAACCTGGGGGTCGATTGAACAAACCAAAACCCCCAAAGCCTCACATGATAGAAAACCCCTCCAACATCGAGATGGCTACTAGGCACTGTCTACGGGCCCAGCTATCTCCTACTACATATCCATCCAAGTCACATAGAACCCGAAAGTTTCGCCCACATCCGCCATGCTGGACCCTACTCCATCCCACTCAACGCCTGACTGTCCTCTGAAAGGAAAAAGTATGCCAAAAAAATGCGGGAAAGACGGCCAACTTTTAAAGGGAAAGTTCTACACCACTACCTCTCCCCCCTGCCTCAACTGCAGGGGTACTCACCACACCCTTCAGCAAAATCCCTCTACGAAAGAATCCCGTCAAGAAATCATTGAAGAAACCAGAAGAACAACCCTAAAACCCAACAACGCCGCCATTTCAAAAATTCAATCAGGGCCACCGAACCCTTTAAGCTACACAACAATCATCTCCCCCCCCATCCCCCCTAAAAAAAATCAAAAAAACCAAAATACTCTCCTATGAAAAAAATCGAGAACAAGTCCAGTATTGGGCTACTTAAAACAAGATGGGTTCCTACACGATAGAGAGAAATGGTGAGCTACCAAGGCCAAAATGCCAGTTTTTAGCAGCCGCTTTTCCGAAGAAGTAAATCAAAAATGAATTTTATTGAGGGCCACAAAATTGTTTAACACAAGCCTATCGTTTATCCTGACGTCCAAATGCTCGAACAGGCGATAATGACATTGCCCATTGCACTCTGGCCCGGGCAGACTCGTTGCATCGTGTCTCAAGAACCAGAAGCCCTATCACGAGCTTACCAAACTATGGAGAGATGGAACGGGGTCGTCCCACAGTTACTAAAACAACGCATTCCCACTCCCCAAAGGGGCAGTTAAAGCAACAAAAGAACTACAGACCAATAGCAAACATCCCATATCATAAAAAATCTTTGAAAGGGTCTAAGAAGAATCACCAACCGATCTAAAACCATCAGTACACCAACCAACAGGCAACATGGGTTTAGAACATGTCTGCTGTCTCTACTTAACATTCCCACCCAAGTCCTAAAAGCACTAGAAAGACAAAAGAATGCGTGTAATACACACTTGCAAACCCAATGTCCTCGAAAGGACAAATATGCGCTAAAGGGGGTAAAGACGGACCAAGACGTCGAGGATATTTCTACTCCCCTAAACCACCACAGGGCTAACTGCAGGGAAACAACCTGCAGCAAAAGCTCTTCCAAAGAACGCTAGCAATCCCTTGAAGAACCCACTGAAAATCCCTAATCGACAAATCGCCCCATCAAAAATTCCAATTTAGATCACACCTCAACTACAAAGTGTCATCCTTCCACCATCCAACCTCCTTGCTCTTCCTGACGCAGATCCCTTTTTAGGTGCTAAGAATATGACACTTAATGATGGAAACCTGACTCATCAACACGACAATCAAGAATTTTCATCCAAACAACACAAACTTCAATTCCAAACTCGAGCATACAAGACCTCGTCAAAGCAATCAGATTCATTGTAATCTCACCCCAGGTCCTAACTTTCTCAACCACTGCTAAAAAATGACCAAACACTCTAGCCACCACCTACAAACCACCAGCCCAACATCACACCCATCAGCTCACTGCCTCCTCTCAAATGCTGCACACTAAGAACGAAATTCAGAATGAAAATCCCCGACAAGAAAATGTACAAAAAGAAACCAGCAGCTTAACGAAAAACACCTAATGGTCTCTAACCTTAACCTAACCCAATTCCCAACCGAAATGAGCGCAGCTGATATCTCATTAATAAACGGAAATCTTAAGGGACTACACAAACTCACCAAATTCCCCTTTAAAACGCACAATACTCGGACGAACTGACTGCTCCAACCTCCGAATGAAACTGTCCACATGCAAGAAGAGACCAAAAACTAAGAGTAGCGGCCCACCAGCGAAGTTAGCCAACCCCACACCTAAGGGACCTGACCCAAACCAGCTCTTCCTTCAGCCTGGCATGGGCACGAGCACTATGCAGTCTGCCATCAGCCCTGTGCCTCTATGTGGTCCAGCACAAGCCTGTCCTCGCATCCACCAGTGGGTTTAGCCCTGGCTCTTATCCACAACTCAAGGGCCTTCCTCCACGACGTCATCGTCCTGTCCACACTCCCACTCACCCACCGAGTCCCAAAGAAGAGCTGCTATGTGTGTTCTCAATGTCGTCCACTTTTGACTTAGCTGCTGGTTAAGCCTTCTATTTACTATACCTGAAAAGGGCTCCGGGCAACATAAACCCAAAATCTTTCAGGGGGCTGCAGAAAAAAATATAAGTTCAACGATGGGGAAATTTTTTTTAAACTCAAAATATGTGAAAAAACATGGGGAAAATTTAAAATCTTCATCAGAGTACAAAAAAAATTTCCCTGGCCCAAAATAGAGCGAAACACCAAGTCAAAGACCTGGGAGTGACCCATTCGGGGGAATCTCCCCTTTAAAGGACCATAACTTTTTGTAACAATCGCATCTGCTAAAAAAAAATGACGGGATGGATAAATGAGAACCTTCAAAACTGGGGAGGCCAAGCCCATGATGACACTCTTCAGGTCACTTTTTTCTATCTAGGCGGAAAAATTGCTGCACACAAACAAGAAAACCTTTCAAGGCAGGTGAAATTGCCGACCTAAAAATGTACAGAAAAACTTTCACGGCCGCTAACGGAGATAAAACACCTAAAATTTTTGGGAGGGGCTTGGGGTTTTCCTAAACCGAAATTCCCGGGAAACCCAAGGGGGAGGAGATACATGTTTATATACACCGGGAAAATCCTAGAGGACTAGAAACCGAACGCCCCACAAAAATCACTCATTACAAAAAGCAAAAGACTTGGCGGGCATGCCCCACCCCCCCCAATGAAAAGGGGGGGTGTCACAAAGCACGTTAAAGCCCCATAAAATAAGTGCCCGGGGCCCGAGGCCCGGGGTTCAACTGCCTCCCACACCTAAGGGGGATTTACCAACAGCCCCTTTGGCAGCCCCTTCAAGCTGGCACTGGAAAAGCACCAAAAGTCATTTCCCCCCGGAAAATCGGGCCGGGCTGTGGCTCTATTTTTGGGTTTTGGGGTGCAGCCACAGCAACACCCTTTGGGTTTGATCAGGCTCTGACCCCCAGGAGGCCTGGCCCTCAACCGGGCGGGGGGGCTTTTGCCCCCCGGGAATCTCCCCCCGGTAAACTCCAGGTAAGTATCTTCCTAAAGGAAAAAAAACTGAAAGGAAGTATTTTTTTAAAAAAATTCTAAAACTTTTCCCTTTAACCCACGTCATTGAGCTGACCCGAGTAACTTTTAGGGGGGCGTATCTTGCCCTTTTTACCCTTATTTCCCCGTATCCCTAAAAACCCTTTTTTGGGTTGCCCTTCGATTCCTTGAAAACTTTAACCTCAAAATGTCTTTTTGCTTTTCAAATTTCCCCTTTTTTTATTTCCTTTTTAAAACTGAATATATTGATTTCTTAATTGGCCCCCCCCCTCTTTTTATTTGCCCGTATATGCCCTCTCCCTTTTTACCAATGAGAAGTTTTTTAAAACTATTGTTCATCCAAATTTTGGGAAACATTTTTTGCTTGATCCCGATTTTCCTTTTTTGGAAAGTAAAATTGTTTTGAGCAGCTAGAATTAAAGCTTTTGGAAAACCCCCATTCGGGAACCATCACCACCTAAACCCGACCCATAGCAGGTCAACCCGTTCAGCCCACCGAAATAATTTTTCAGTCCTATGAAAACAGTCAAGGGGGAAATCAGGACCCGAGCACAACACCAGACACAAACCTCTCTATTTCATTTCCCCCCCGGGCTAAAACCCTTTTCAAAAATTCCAAAATATGTCAAAGGCCCCCCAAAATCTTGAACACCCCACCTGAAAATTCTAAACTGCAACACATTCATCACCTTCCCAAAAATACCATCAGAAAAACATCTTATCTCCCCCGATACCCCCTGTCAACTAATTTAAACGAATAAACCCCCCTGGTGGTTAAAAACTTACACTCACTCCCCCCTTTGACCATAAACAGAAAACAATCTCAAACTCAAAATAATGAATCTTAACAAAACATAAGTTGGCCCGTGATACTCCAATACTGAAACTATGTATAGTGCCAAAACAAAAGCATTCACATTGCTAAACTCACAAACTAGTATTTAGTCAGCCATAATACCAACTTACCTCATAATTTTGTAATATTTTAAACTTAAGATTTAATTTAAGTCTGCCCGAAATGCCTAGCCATGCTAGGTGTTCTAGTGGTACACTCTGTAATTATTATTTTACTACATGTAAACCACACAATAACCAAATTCAGTAAACTCAGCATTGTAATCCTTATAGAGAATAAACTTTGAATTTGAATTTGAATTATTAAGGGAATTCCATGACATATTAAAACTGAGTGATTTGTGATCACTTTCCCCGAGCTCATCATTAACCTCAAGATTATTAATTAGTGTTTCCCTGCTGGCAAGAACCAAGTCAAGCAGGTTATTTCCTCTAGTTGGCTCTGTCATAAACTGCTTTAAAAAACAATCCTGAATCGTATCAAGAAAGTCACTTGATTCTAAATTTCCTGTCAAATTGCTCCAGTCAATCTGTCTATAGTTGAAATCTCCCATTATCACAACATTTTCGTATGTAGAGGCCTTACGAATTTCATCCCACAGAAGTTTACCGCACTCCCTATCAAGATTTGGGGCCCTGTAAATCACACCCAAAATTAGTTTTTCACGGCCCTCGAGAAGCTGTAACCAAACACATTCAGTGGCTGACGCTTCTAATTTTATATCTTGTCTAACACAACAATTTAAATTGTCTCTGACGTACATCGCTACTCCACCATCCTTCCTGTTGACCATGTCAGTGTGGAATAATTTATAGCCTTGTATGTGACATTCAGAAGGCATCTCTCTATCTTTCAGATTGAGCCAGGTCTCTGTTATAGCAATGATATCTATGTTTCCTGACTATTTCCCACACACACCCATACCTCTATCTTCTATCAGTTTAAAATCCTAGGCATTTCAGCAATGGCCCTCTCGATTGAGTTTGCAAGAGCTACCACCCCTACCCCAGAAAGATGTACACCATCCCTTGCATACATATCATGTTTGCCATAAAAGTTGTCCCCAGTTGTCAATGAATGGGATTGCAAGTTCCTTGCCGTATCTGTCTAGCCAGCAATTTACACCAATTGCCCTAGACAACCATTCATTGCCCACTCCCCTTCTAAGCAAGATGCTACATATAATTGGGACCCCTCCCTTAGACCTAATTAAATCTATAGTTGACCTGCACTTATCTAGCAGCTCTTCTCTCCTACCCTTCCCAATATCATTTCCACCAGCACTGAGACAGATAATAGGCTTGTTCCTATTACCTGACATGATATTATCCAACCTGTCGACTATGTCACTAACACCAGCTCCTGGGAAGCACACTCTATCTCTTACCTTCTTATTCCTATTACAGAAGGCACGGTCCATATATCTTAACTGTGAGTCACCAACCACAAGTATGCGCTTACCTCCATTTGCAGGGGAAGTAGTACCTTTACCTTCACTGGCCACTGAAGTACACTCATCTTGAAGAACAGAGAAGCGATTTCCTACCTTCAAATCTTTTCTCTTAACTTTCCTTATCTTGATGCTTTTCCCATTACTGGGAACCACTTGTCACTTGTAGTAGGTGCTGGACTGTACCTCACTGCTGGTAGCCGTTGCTACCTCCCCACCTACAGCTTCCTCGCAGCGAGAGACAGACTGCACCTCGCTGCTGGTAGCCTCATTCCCCTCCACCATATCAGCCACCTCACACTCGCTCCCAACCCCATTGAGGTGAACCTTCAGCCTCCTAATTTCCTCTTGGAGAAGCAAGACTTCCTCCTTCAACTCTTCAACCTCAATTTTTAGAACACTGCAAAAGCAAGCCATGGCTTTGTAACCATCCACACTAATCCCCAAAGCAGCTCAGGGCCTGTGACCTCATGTGACGACTGACCACTGACCACCGACCACTGACTTACTCATTTGCACCTTATTTTTTTTTTTTTTTTTAGAAAATTCATTGGATGAAGTACAATATTACTATTATATTTTCATCGGGAAAAAAGTAACGTCTTGCCAACTTCAAAGCGGAAACTCGATGGGCACAAGAATTGGTAAAAATTACAAAAAAGACACGAGGATGGTGGTAGTGCCCGAGTTGCTCCCTCAGTTTTACAATCTGGTAAATATTAATTTCTTCAGCCTATTGTGCTTACCTGATGAATGTAAGTGACGTTGTACTTGTAGACTAAGTTATTAAATTTTGAAAGAGACCCTGGCCATGAAAGTTACACGATTATTATTATTATTATTACTATTGAGAAAGGCTAAGCGCATGTGGGTCAGTCAACCGGGGTGAGAGATGGAGGTTCGATTCTCCATCTGCTAATAACGAGACAAACTTGCTACCTAACCAAACTTACCCAGAGAAGAATTGTAAAGCATCTGAGGTGGAGCCAAGGAAGGCGACGCGTCCCTCGCCCATCAGCAACACACGGTCGAACAACGCGAACACCTGGCAAAAATAATTAGAAACATGGACAATTCTCTTTTACGATTTTTCATTTGATTTAGGTTTGTGGCGAGTATTCTTTGGTCCAGTGATTTCAGAAGAGCATTATAATCGCGATGGAAGTGAATTCTAATTTAGATTATTCTTTACTAGTTGCAGTGGCATTGTTTGAAACACACACACACACACACAAACTCATACATACACACGCAAACACTCATACAGAGTCTGAGTATCGACCCTTGCAACCACAATTAGGTGAGTACAGACAGCCGTGAATCGACCCTCGTAACCACATATAGATGAGTACACACACTGACCTCAGAGCTGGGTTGATGTATGGTGGAGATGACAGTCTTATTCTTGCTGGCCAGGTTCCTCATCGCCTGCACGATATTCTGAGCCATGAAGGAGTCCAGGCCAGAGGTTGGTTCATCAAGGAACATGAGTGCTGGATTAGTCAACACCTGCAACACAGTAAGGCGCATGAGTGTTGGTTTAGTCAACACCTGCAACACAGTAAGGAACAGAAGTGCTGGGTTAGCCAACACCTGCAACACAATAAGGAACATAACTGCTGGATTATTTTATAGCAATAAGAGTGGAAGAAAGCAATGGTGAAGGGAAGCAAAAGTAGAGGGAAGCAACAGATGTAGAGGGAGGGCAGCAACAGATGTATAGGGAGGGTAACAACAGATGTAGAGGGAGGGCAGCAACAGGTGTGGAGGAAGGATAACAACAGGTGTGGAGGGAGGGGTAGCAACAGGTGTGGAGGAAGGGTAGCAACAGGTGTGGAGGAAGGATAACAGCAGGTGTGGAGGTAAGGTAGCAACAGGTGTGGAGGGAAGGGTAACAACACGTGTGGAGGGAGGGTAGCAACAGGTGTGGAGGCAGTTAAGTGTTTCCAGTTAGACGTCAATAAGTATATTTTACCTCACAGGCGAAAGCGAGTCTCTTGGTTTCTCCGCCAGAGATGCCCTTCAGACGGCCCGGCACCCCGATCAACGTCTTGGCGCACTTCGTCAAACTCAGCTGCAATATAAACACCATGTCAAGCTTATCTGCACTGTAAATGCTAAATCATCATACACTTATAACGTCGTATCTCTCCCAGTAAACAAATAAATTACAAGACAGCCTTCAAAGGTGATGATTGGAGAACTTGGAGCTATATGCCCTCCTCTTTGGGTCAAACCTAATTACTCTCACAGCCCAGATGCTCTACCAGCCCAGTGGATTTAGCGCATCCCCATGATTAAAAAAAAAATCTGTATACCCTTAAATTAGCCTGGTCATGGACAGGGCCGCGGGGGCATTGACCCCCAAAACATCCTCCAGGTACACTCCAGGTAAATAAGGAGTCTTATTAAACATAGCATCAAGTAAAGTGATGATCAATTGGGAAATACAAGATTACATTCAGGAGACCTCTAAATTTTCTGAACAACTTATTATTTAAATTCTTTAAAATAAAAAAAAAAGTTGAGCCAACCTGGGCCGAGTTAGATGTAACAAAGTTTATCAGGTCAGCAACTTTAGGTACCCGCGTAAAGATCACGTGGTCATACTGGAACTATTAGACGCCACAACTTATAACCTCAGCGCAGGTTGGAGCGGCAGGACAGTTGAGATGTACTAGGCTCACGCTCCTACCATCGTCTCTCAACACAGCCCGTGGCAGAGCAGTAAAGCGTGTTAATTGCAACTTTATCATCAAGAACCCTACAACACCTGCGACACCTGTCATGACTATGACTCACCTCTTGCATGACCTCCTCCACACGTTTGACTCTCATCTCGTGGGATAAATGCCGGTCCATCCTGAGATGAGCCTGGCAAGGAAAGCAAGTGTCAGCTGGAATATTGGGTCGAATATTTACAGACTGGTCATTCTTAAAGGAATGTAATTTGAGTTTCAGACCATCTTGCAGTATTGTTGCACACCCTAATATGATTTAATGCTGTGTTTGACTCTTGTGCTGACAGAATCGAGTACTGTTGTTGTGCTACCCTAGGTATCTTTTCCTGTTCTTCCAAAATAAAGCATATTACAATCACTACAAGAAATCTTATATACTCCTCCCACTGTGTATGCAGGTGAGTTCTTGATTAGTATTCTGTTGACTGTTAGCACAACGCCAGTTCTTAATTCAGACAGCACAAGAGTCAAAAGCTATATTTAATCACATTAGAGTTCCTATTGGTAAGGAACATCCTCGAATCCGTGATTATAAAGAATGATAACCATGGCTGATATAGCCAAGACTCATATAAGCTTGATTCATATTTATTAGACGCAATTAGTCATAACCTTAAGACAAATACTCCTGATTGTACTAGATGCAGCAGATGCCAGTTCCCCGTTGTGGGAACTGTGCGTTGCACAGAGGATAAATTAGAGCATACGGACATCCTGTTAGAGCTGTCATTGGTAGTTTACCTTTATAACAGTAGTTTTCTTTGAACATAGTTCGAATCTCCATTTTCTCTGATATGTTGCATAAGCTTCAATTTCGCCGTAAGTAAGTAAGTTTATTCAGGTATACACAAATACAGTTACATAGATTATCATACATAGCAGCATATGTGTAGAGAACCTGGGATAACCCAAAAAAGTCAGACAGAGTGACTTATTTCCATTGGGGTCCTTTTACCTTATTATTATAATACAAAGGTAATATTTTCTTATCTTTATATGTATATGCTTCTAAGCTGTTGTGTTTCTGGGCACCTCTGCAAAAACAGTGATTATGTGTGAGTGAGGTGAAAGTGTTGAATGATGATGAAAGTATTTTCTTTTTGGGTCACCCTGCCTCGGTGGGAGATGGCCGACATAAAAAAAAATTCTTATTATTCTATAATGAAGATAACATCTTATTATCATACTAAAGACTACTACACGAGGGTCATTAAGACTATCTACAATACGAGGGTCATTACTAGGAATAAGGTAAAATTACACGTGTGTTAGCTAAAAAATAGAAAATCATTCCCCTCCCTTTCTGTAGCTACATTCATCAGACACCTTTTGGCACTCTTCTTGAACTGGTTCATGCTATGACTGGCTTTGACATGTGCGGGAGTCTGTTCCATTCCTTTATTGCTGTACAATAAAAGGTGTTTGAGCCTGGCCACTGACTGTGGGTACTACAAAGTTGTGCTCTCTCCCCCTAGTACTATGATTGCTTTGGTTCCCAACCTTGACAAAATTGACAGCAAGATATTCTGGACATTGTTTGTGAGCAATTTTATAAACATGATTTAGCTTCAGTTGTTTTACTCTGTCTTCAACAATATAATAATAATAAATAATAAAAAAATAAAATTTTATTTTAGCATGATGCATGTTTGTACAAAGGAGTGTAACAATTTGGTGAGCATGCCAAGAGCCCTTAATATGTAGAGCATTTCGGGCAAAGTTAAGACTTAATAAGTACAGTAAGTTTATTTACCTACAATTACACAAGTTCAATTAAACACGTTTTGGGCCTTGCAACTGTCTAACAGGATAACCCTAAAAATAGGAAAACCCTCCTTCCCCCCCCCCAAAAAAAAAAATATAAGTTGCTCATTTCCTTTGGGGTCTTTTTAATGTATTACTATGAAGCAGCCTAGTTGTCAGACACAGTAGAAATCAATCGTGATTATAACCATACATACAAAATATACTAAATAAAGTACATATAATCAATAGGAATAGGAATCAATAGGAACATTAGAGAAAATCAGCATATTATAATATATACACGATTGTTAACACTAAAAAAAATCTCTTTCCTAGGAACCTTTCTGAAGCTTCATTCGTTAGGAACGTTTTAGCTCTCCTCAACTGTGTTATGCTAAAACTGACCTTGACATATTCAGGAAATCCGTTCCACTCCTTTACTGCTGTATACTGAAATGTATTATTATTATTATTAAAGATTCGCCGGTATTATCCGGCCCGGGCCTTTTCCAAGTGGTGGCCCGGCCTTGGCTCCCTCTTTAGGGAGTGTCTGAGACCTAAGTCTCACATGGGAGGAGGCACAAGTACCTCCTCATCTTTGGGACCAACTGTCCCCAGGCCTAGCCACAAGCTAGGCCTCTCTGGTCTGCCATCCCCGCCCCAAGGGGGTAAATGGGAATGACAGTCTTGTGAGCTAAAGGCTCGGGCTCAGGCACCTACCCTACCCTAGAAGGGTTAGGCATGGTGTCGATCCACTGAAATGTTTCTAGCTTGACCACCTACTGTAGGTACTACAAAGTTATGCTCACTACCCTTGGTACCATACTGGTTTTGGTTCCTAATATTGACAAAATCTTCAGTAAGATAACGATTGTGAACAATTTTAAAAACATGATTTAGTTACATCTGCCGAACTCTTTATCTTCAACATTCAGCAGGATGAATCTCACAATACATTTTTGGATCGTGAGATTCAATTTTGAGATTTTTTGTTTTTCAGTTTTCTTTGTTAGAGCTGAGTACAACGAAGAACAAGAATAATCCACATGATACTGTATAAGAGCTAGACATAGGGTCCTGAGACCCTCGCTAGATAAACACTTCGCTTTTCTATAGAGGAACTTTAATCTATTTGCATATTCTGATTTTCGTTCAACTATGAAACCAGGCATCTGAATTTTTTTCTAATATTCACAATGCATTCTTGCAGTAAAAACCTTTCAGTTTGTTTGTGTGTACATGTCACCTTCCATAATAAAAATAATAATAATAATAATAATAATAATAATAATAATAATAATAATAATAATAATAATAATAATAATAATAATAATAATATTTTATCTCTCTGAGCCATACAAAAAAAATGCAGTAGAATTTACTGTACATGAACTAGTACAAACGTAGGCACAAAAGAAAGTCTTACCTGTATTTTTTTTGTACCTCTGTATGTATGTTCAAATTATTAAATAAATAAATAAATAAATAAATAAATTCCGGGCAAAGTGACAGTCGAGATTCGGGGTCTTTAACACCAATTGACTGATGGTTCGTTTCTTGAGTCACATTGTGAGGTTCGATGCTGGTGGTGACCTGGAAGAGTTGCCCGATCATAATGAGGGAAGGGTGAAGGAGGAAGCTAGGTAATGAGGGAGAAGCTAGGATGAGAGAGGGAGCTAGTATGAGGTTGAGAGCTACAATTAGGGAAGAAACTAGGGTGAGGTAGGGAGCTAAGGGAGGGGCTGTAACTAGGATGATGGGGAGCTAAGGTAATGGAGGAAGTTAAGGTGAGGGACAAAACTGACCTGGAAGAGCAGTTGTTCCCTCACAGTGAAGGTGCCAATAAATAGATCTTCCTGCTGAACGTACGCTGACCTACTGGTCAGCAGGTCCGGTGTCACTCGCTGTCCGTTCACGTACAGCGATCCTGCCAAGGACACCTACATTAGCTCACACATATACGGATTTATACGTACACCAGCTCACACGCTCACACACATGCACACTAGCTCACACTTAAACATACACTCACAGATCCACATGAACACAGACTCGCACACTATCACGCGCACATTGGATCACAAGTACATATACTAACACGGTCCACGGCCGGATTAAGGCATGGGCTTTAGGGGCTGCAGCCCAGGGCCTCCGCCAGCTGGAGGGCCTCCGCCAGCTGGAGGGCCTCCGCCAGCTGGAGGGCCTCCGCCAGCTGGAGGGCCTCTAAAGATGTTCTCAAAATCTTACAGTTTACTGATGTTTTAGAGGAATTTATTTCCACAAAATTACACAAAGCTAATCTTTGAATTTTAAATCTGATTAGTCTTGTAAAAATACATTTAATATTTCTTTTACTCTCTTCTTTTTAAAAATATCACTGGAGGCCCCACGGTACCTGCAGCCCAGGAGCCCCACGGTACCTGTAGCCCAGGGTCCCCAAGGTACCTCTAACCAGGGGCCCCAAGGTACCTGTAACCCAGGGGCCCCATGGTACCTGCAACCCAGGGGCCCCACGGTACCTGTAGCCCAGGGGCCCCACGGTACCTGTAACCCAGGGGCCTACAAATTTTTAATCCGACTCTACTCACACCTACACTGTCTCACATGAGCACTAGCAGCTCACATATGTACGTTTCCCCACGTACACCGGCACACATGTAAACTAGCAGCACACACATGTACACTAGCAGCTCACACGTAGACTAGCAGCTGAAACGTACATGAGCAATACACACTTACACTAGCAGTGCGCATGTAACTCTCTCTCTAGCCGTATACACGTACACTAGCAGTAAACATGAACACGTTAACTAGAGTGTGTACTCACCAGTTATCCTGAGGAAGTGTGTACTCACCGGTGATCTTGAGGGAGTGTGTACTCACCTGTTAGATTGATGGAGTGTGTACTCACCCGTTAACTTGAGCGAGTGTGCATTCACCTGTGAACTTGAGGGAGTGTGTACTCATCTGTTATCTTGAGGGAGTGTGTACTGACCTGTTAGCCTTGGGGAGTGTGTACTCACCTGTTATCTTGAGGGAGGGTGTACTCACCTGTGATCTTGAGGGAGTGTGTACTGACCTGTTAGCCTTGGGGAGTGTGTACTCACCTGTTATCTTGAGGGAGTGTGTACTCACCTGTTATCTTGAGGGAGGGTGTACTCACCTGTGATCTTGAGGGAAAGTATACTCACCTGTTAGGTTGAGGGAGTGTGTACTCACCTGTTAACCTGAGCGAGTGTGTACTCACCTGTGAACTTTAGAGTGTGTACTCATCTGTTATCTTGAGGGAGTGTGTACTCACCTGTTATCTTGTAGGAGTGTGTACTCACCTGTTATTCTGAGGGCGTCATCGCTCCTGAAAGTGAGGACGTTAAGGAGTGTGGTCTTGCCCGCTCCTGATGCACCCATGATAGCTAGCAGCTCGCCTGGTCTGCAGATCCCGGCCACTATGAGAGAGACATACAGTGTTACACTTCACTTCACGCACACATACATTCACATCAATGCATCAGAGGAAACAAGTGGTTTTTAAAGCAAAGACCACACTGCGACTGGCCGGGAGTTGAACCCGAGTCGTCTAGGCAGCCTCCTGGGAAGCTAGCTAAACTCTATACCACTACACCACTATGCCTTAGATGCACTGATTTATGTACTGGTCGTCAGACTGTTTTACAAACGGGAGGAGAATGAAATCAATCCTGAGACCTAACGTCTTGTGCCATGGTGGGGCAGTGCTCTAGGGCGTCGAGAGTTCAGCTAGCGTCCCAGGAGGCTGCCTAGACGACTCGGGTTCAAATCTCTACCAGTCGCAGTGTGTTCTACATACACACACACACACACACACACACACACACACACACACACACACACATGTGGCTGTATAGCCACATTAGGAGGAAGACAACAGTCAAGGACCAGGTGATAAGGCTGAGGAAAGAAGGTGGAGAACTCACAAGAAACGATCAAGAGGTATGTGAGGAGCTCAACACGAGATTTAAGGAAGTATTTACAGTAGAGTCAGGAAGGACTCTGGGGGGACAGACCAGATGGGGACACCAGCAAGGAATACACCAACAAGTGTTGGACGACATACATACAGATGAGGAGGAGGTGAAGAAACTGCTAAGGGACATCGATACCTCAAAGGCAATGGGACCGGACAACATCTCCCCGTGGGTCCTTAGAGAGGGAGCAGATATGTTGTGCGTGCCACTTACCACAATCTTCAACACGTCCCTGGAAACTGGGCAACTACCTGAGGTATGGAAGACGGCAAATGTAGTTCCCATTTTAAAAAAGGAGACAGAAAAGAGGCACTAAAACTATAGACCTGTGTCATTGACGTGTATAGTATGCAAAATTATGGAGAAAATTATCAGGAGGAGAGTGGTGGAGCACCTGGAACGGAACAAGAGTATAAATGCCAACCAGCACGGATTCATGGAAGGCAAATCCTGTGTCACAAACCTTCTGGAGTTTTATGATAAAATAACAGAAGTAAGAAACGAGAGAGAGGGGTGGGTTGATTGCATCTTCTTGGACTGCAAGAAGGCCTTTGACACAGTTCCTCACAAGAGATTGGTGCAGAAGCTAGAGCATCAGGCGCATATAACAGGAAGGGCACTGCAATGGATCAGAGAATACCCGACAGGGAGACAACAACGAGTCATGGTACGTAATGATGTATCACAGTGGGCACCTGTGACGAGCGGGGTCCCACAGGGGTCGGTCCTAGGACCAGTGCTATTTTTGGTATATGTGAACGACATGATGGAAGGGTTAGACTCAGAAGTGTCCCTGTTTGCAGATGATGTGAAGTTAATGAGGAGAATTAAATCTGATGAGGACCAGGCAGGACTTCAAAGAGACCTGGACAGACTGGACACCTGGTCCAGCAAATGGCTTCTCGAATTTAATCCTGCCAAATGCAAAGTCATGAAGATAGGGGAAGGGCACAGAAGACCACAGACCCAGTATAGGCTAGGTGGCCAAAGACTGCAAACCTCACTCAAGGAGAAAGATCTTGGGGTGAGTATAACACCGAGCATGTCTCCGGAAGCACACATCAACCAGATAACTGCTGCAGCATATGGGCGCCTGGCAAACCTGAGAACAGCATTCCGATACCTTAGTAAGGAATCGTTCAAGACACTGTACACCGTGTATGTCAGGCCCATACTGGAGTATGCAGCACCTGTTTGGAACCCGCACTTGATAAAGCACGTCAAGAAACTAGAGAAGTACAAAGGTTTGCGACAAGGTTAGTTCCAGAGCTAAGGGGAATGTCCTATGAAGAAAGATTAAGGAAAACGGCCTGACGACACTGGAGGACAGGAGGGTCAGGGGAGACATGATAACGACATATAAAATACTGCGTGGAATAGACAAGGTGGACAAAGACAGGATGTTCCAGGGAGGGGACACAGAAACAAGAGGCCACAATTGGAAGTTGAAGACACAAATGAGTCAGAGAGATATTAGGAAGTATTTCTTCAGTCATAGAGTTGTAAGGCAGTGGAATAGCCTAGAAAATGACGTAGTGGAGGCAGGAACCATACACAGTTTTAAGACGAGGTTTGATAAAGCTCATGGAGCGGGGAGAGAGAGGGCCCAGTAGCAACCGGTGAAGAGGCGGGGCCAGGAGCTAAGACTCGACCCCTGCAACCACAAATAGGTGAGTACAAATAGGTGAGTACACACACATACACACACACACACACACACAGCTATGGCTCGACTCCTGTAACCACAATTAGGTGAGTACAGTTAGGTGAGTACACACACAATAGTATATAACTAAATTAGTTCCAGAACAAAGGAGAATGAGCTACGTGGAAAGGCTAAAAGAACCGAATCTGATGACGTTAGACAGAAAATTCATGTGAGATATGATATCAACATATAAAATACTGGCTGAGGACATGTCTACATAATAAAAATACCCAATTTTAGCACGTGTCTAATTCTTCAATTTGTCGGTATTATATGCCATTGATGTTACAAAATACTCAGAGGAATTAAAAAGGTGGCGAGAGAGAATTTGTTTTAACACCAGTCATCTCCTTCCGAGGTAGCGTGACCCGAAAAAGAGGAATATTGCGTACCCTGAATTGTACGCAAGTTATATTGAAAAATTCTATGTTCCGTGTATGTCTATTGCCATATATCTTCATATTGGAGATGTTTTCAGAAATAGCTAAACCGAAAATATCTTACTTTACATGTTGTATTGCTCACGGTTCAAGTTAGCTAACTAGCCATCAGCTCATTAACCCTTCAGGTATTCCTGCTTTACCACGGTGAAGCCACGTCATTATACCCAATGTTGTGGCTACCGGCTTGACCTCCAGCAGTCATCAGCTGTTCTCTCATAGATGACACAGTCCACCCTCACCTTTCGTAAGAGCACCTCTATTCCTGGATTTAGTCTTATGGCCTCATGAGGTTCCCTAGGGACCCTCCAGCACCTTGAACAGTATCAGGCAGAAACCTCTCGGACTAGTGTGTGTTGCTGTATTAGAGATACTGGTGTTTGTCTCTAGTTCTGTCAGGAGCGAGTTTAAGCGGCATTTGCTTAAACAGGACGGCGAGAAAGTCGTGGGGAATCACTCGTCTGAAAACTCCTTTAAGTGTAGAAGATTCCTATTCCCACTTAATGTGTTACGAAAATTGTTACTAATTGTGGGAAAGTAATTAATATTGTACGTCCTAGTTACGCTACGGCGTACGAATGAATTGAATGTCGTGTTATACTTGAGCCATCCAGTATTACAATTAAGACAGAATATTGTGTATTGTACACTACCTTATTAAGTGAACTCAGTGTAAATTACTTAAAAGTACTTATTACGGTGACACCATTTTAAAGAATAAATATAGACCCCTTCTATGGTTTATTAAGAAATTTAATAAAAACCAGGAAACATTGTGATTTCCTACTGAACCCTTTATTCAGTTATTACTTTATTGCTAACCAGGGCGAAACAAGGAAACACTATCAGTCACTCAGTAACTAGTTAGAAAGCGTCGGGGGAGGCAATCACAGGTTGGAGAGTAGACACACTCCACATATCCTCACCATCCTTCAGAATGTGCGTCTCTTGGGTCTTCTTCTTCTTGCCACATCCTGTAGCAGTGACAGCGAAGACGTTCACCTTCTCCCACGAATAGGTCAGTTGCTCCCCGCCAGACAACTTCTTCTCTACTTGTATTGACACTTCCCCATTCTGCTATGATAAAGTACAGAGTAATAAAGGAAAGAATTAAATTTTGAAGCGGTTGTAAAGTTTGTTAGTAGCTTTGTTTTATTTTATATAAATTTTGTGTCTAGGTCTAAATTGTGTATCGCTCTCCTTCTCTACTTTCTTCACTTATTGAATAATGTCAGTTTTTTTTTACTTTAACAGCAGGAAAATAAAAACATATAGAATATTTCATTTAGTTACGTTTTGCATTAAACATAACATTTATAAGGGTAAATTATTTATCTAAATTAAGATATTCACATAAATCTAGAGCAGATCACCTTAAACCTTCCAAAAGAAAATCCGAATTGGCGGTTCATGCGGATGGTTCATGCGGATGGTTCATGCACATGGTTCATGCACATGGTTCATGCACATGGTTCATGCACATGGTTCATGCACATGGTTCATGTGCATGGTTCATGTGCATGGTTCATGCGCATGGTTCATGCACATGGTTCATGCACATGGTTCATGCGCATGGTTCATGCACATGGTTCATGCGCATGGTTCATGCACATGGTTCATGCGCATGGTTCATGCGCATGGTTCATGCGCATGGTTCATGCGCATGGTTCATGCGCATGGTTCATGCACATGGTTCATGCACATGGTTCATGCACATGGTTCATGCACATGGTTCATGCACATGGTTCATGCACATGGTTCCTTGCGTAGGACACGCATCTATACTCTATTATCTTTCATTATCAGACATTAAGTCTTCGTTGTGTGATTCTTGTTAACTAGTATATGATGGCAACACACATGGTATACATAAAAAAAAAAAAAATAGTGGACTGATACTCTGGAGAAGACACACTAAAAGAAAGAGTATTAATATGTAATGGGTCTGGTTGACACATTTCCAGCAGGTATTGTGTGGTCTAGGCTGAACTGTTTTGTATTCGAACAGCTGCCTTCGATGACTTACAGAATATCCTGAGAAGCAAAGCTTTCTCAGAGGGAAAATTATAAGGTGTATTTTTTTTTTTAATGAAAGTTTAGATTAGGTGAAATTTTCACCTAAATTCTGAGAAGTTGCCTTTTTAGTTCAGAAAAAAAAATATCTTTAACAGTAATGAAGTATTAGTAGCGATGGCTGGTGTACAAGAGCACTGGTATAGAATAGGTTCAACCAGCCAATCACAAGGAAGCTGCCAAAGCTGTGAAGCGATGTGGTACACTTGTCAAACAACTTCGGCAGACTTGCCTTCACTGCTGGTCGCTCACGGTTCACCTGTCTTGTGTTTACAGCCTCGTTTGTAACCATGTCTTGTGCTTGCTTTTCCTCATTGTACATCGTGTAGAATATAAAATACATTGTAAATACCAGCTTATTTTGGTGAACGAAATGTAATTGTTATTCTGTTATCTTTTGCTTGTTCCCAAGTGGTAATCGCATTACGGCCAGGTGTGCAGGCCATATCTACACCTGTGTTCGTAATAGTATACTGTAATGAGTAGCAAGTAGTTAATGGTAGTAGTCAACTAGTTTAGACCCAGCATACAAGTGTAGTTACTCGGGTTTATGTAATATACATAGTAACATGTGAGAGTTACCTAGGACAACATAGTAATATGTGAGTTTCCTAAGATAGACTAGGCAGGGTTATTAAACATTGCAAAGTAGGTAGCAGGGTAGGCAAATATGTCGGGATCTGTGTAGAAAACACCTTCTGGAACCTTCTTTGACATATGGTAGAATAGTGACGTATAGCACATGTTTCGTATTTTATTGTAAAGTTACAAAAAGCCGAAGTGTGGGTGTATTTAGGTAAAAATGATTTCATACGTCACTAGATCATTTGATGTCGATTAAATGTGGTTTTGGGCTGACTCCCGCTATTCGTTATTCCATAACTAGCCTTCTGTAAACTTCTGAAGTTTCTCCCTCCCGATAAGGGGAGAGAGGGGACGGGTGGAGGTTGTTCAGTAGCAGAAGGACTCACACTCCACTCTGACATGACCCAACTCATTACGCTTCTACTTTGCCTCACAGAATTTTCCCGTTATCTGTTATTAACCTTGAAAAAATTGCATTGCTCCTGACGACGCACAGTGAGAAAGATCTTAGGCTAAAGATTTCCATCCCCATGTGGCTTGTTTTGCAATGTTAAGATGTGGCGATGACATCTTTCATATTAAAAATTTGTGGGTGTATTTCCTGTTATTCGAGTAAAAATATTCACCCACTTATGGAGGTATTAGGAAGGTCGGAAGCAGTTGAAGACGGAGAGAACCTTCTGCTATACTAAATTGAAATACATTGATGGAATGAAAGGTAGCTACATTGTACTTGCTCTTCAGCAGAAAATCTTGACATACATCTTAAGATCTTCTGTTATCTGCCTTCCCTATGTTGTCCTGTGATGCAAGATGATGTGAACTAACTGCATGCGCGTTAAGACCCTACAATATTCCTCTACTAATTTTTTCTTGTTACTATTTACAACATTTATTGCGTCACTTGTGGGCGTCCTAGGCAGTCTTGATGGTCTACAATGTAAGGTTGTAAGTTATTTTCTTCCATGCTATATTTGTGATTCTGGATTCCCTTGACTCTTAGCTATCTATTTCGGGATAATGTTATCTCGCAACTATGCTGGGGCGCCACCAGACCGAAGTATCATAATCAAGGACTGCCCTGTCACGCTGACTTACTCCTCTATTTATCAGAGAGCAGCACATCAACTTTCAAACTTCTCTTAACATCATGCTGTGTTTTTTCTCATTTTCTCTCCAAAAAAGTAGTCTAAGTATCATGTCATAGTTTTCTCACACTTTCGAACACCTCAGACAGAACTGGCAGTCGTCCTACCAACACTGGCAACAACCATATCAACATTGGCAATATACCTATTGACACTGGCAATATTCATGACATCACTGGCGACACTCCTATACACACTGGTATAACTGATATCAACTCTAACACTGGAAACACTCCTCTCAATACTTGCAACACTATTAACACACTTTATCAACACTTTTATCTAAACTAGCAACACATGAAAACTGAAAACGCTATGAAAACGAATTTTCGATACATGTTTTATTTTTTCATTTATATTTCAAATTATTTACATTAAATAACATGCAATTTTTTTAACAGTACAATGTGATATACTTGTTTCAATGAATTTGAAAAATTGGCTCATCCACAGCGAAAATTAACTGCAAATTCTCTTCTAATTAAGATACACCAGCATTTAAGTATTTGAAGCTGAGCAGAGGAGGCATTCTCTAGTTATCACATGAAAGTCAATTTATGTGATAAGTGGCAATTTAAAATTTGCAGATCTCAAAGCGAAAGCTAAACTTTATTGTCATGAAGCCCATGAACACAGAAATTTTGAAGCTTATCAGAAAAGGCATTCTCCAGTAATTTCTATGAATCCAATGACTGGTGTTTTTTAAACACACACACATATTTTTTTTCGTTAGTTTCAGAATAATTTTTGCGAAATTATTGCATACACAAATTTTCCCTTGCCTTATTCGGCAAGAACAGTGTTGCCATTTAAGCCAAACTCACAAGTTTTACCTATTCGGCAGGAAATGTATATATATACTGTATATATATTTATTTATTTATTTATTTATTTTCAATCTCCAGCTACTGCAAGGATTCCAACAATTTCAAATTTATAAATAAACTTAGTAAGTTGACAAATTTACCCACACACAAACTCAAATTGTTGGGAAGTATCCTGTTAGTAGGATGCATCAGACACTGAATACTGAAGCCATTCAGAAAAGACTGATGCAAATATATTTGACTTTATCAAAAGTGAATAAAAATTTCACGCTTTTAAACAAAATTATCAGTTGTCCAAATGTATATCTAAATTTCACTCTCCGCCATTGCCGAATTAGGAGAATTTTTTTTTGAATGTTTGGAACCAAGCAGCAGAGAGAGTTTTGGATGTCAGAGTAATTCCAGTGAGCTAGGAATTAATTCTACAGCTTTGGACACGGGTCACCTGCCCATACCAGTTGTTCCAAGAATCTTGTGCTAGTTACCATACACCACCATTGAAAGTTTGAAGCCGATCGAATGAAACCTTCTCATGTTATGAGGGAAATAAAAACAAAACGTTACTGGAAGAAAAATTAAAGGAAAAATCGGGCAGCCACTTAAAAATGTTACCCTGTCGGTGCTAAAAATATTGCTGCAATATTTAAAAACTGTATGATCCAATAATAATTTCAACCTATTTGAGAAGGATACACCAGTGTTGAGGGTTTAAAGCCGGTCAGAAGAGGCTTTATCATGTTGTTGCGCGGAAACCAGAATTGTGAATGGTTCGAGTGCAACTGACTAGCTAAACTGCACATGCTAAAAGTTCGGTGAATCTTCCCATAGTTAAGTTCAACAGCGTTTAAAATTTGTAATTGATTAGATAACACGTTTTAAAGATATAAACTAAAACCTTAGAGGAAGAAAAGAACATTGTATACCTGAGTATACGTAACATTACAAGAAATGTATATATTTACTGTCTTTATTGGAAGCTGTTTCGCCAGTCAGCGGCGTTTTTCTTTTCAATTCCATATGAATCGACTCTGGAATAAAACCTCTCGAAAAAAAGGTCTTATACAATTTAAATTTAACTTCCTTTAAGTTAAAAACCAGGACAGTTAAGGGCAGAAATAACATTTTTTTCTGTTTAGTCCCAAAACAGAACAGTAACAATCCAAAGCTTGTAACAGATTTTTTTAAGGAATTTTGGCTCCGATTAAATGAAGCATTTATAAATTATAGCCTGGAACTCAAATTTAAATTTTTCACAATTTCTTCGAAGCAAAATGCATCTATAGAGTCCAAATTCATCCTAATAACCATCTAATCAGGAAACATGTGTCTGTTTCCTTTTTTGATTCAGAATAAAAATAAATTAACTTTCATAATATTAAATAGAAAACAATCGTCACATTACGATAAGACAGATATAGAGATTTTTTTTTTTTTTAGAATATATCATGGACATGTGTATAAGAATGTCAGATAAGGTTGTTAGTGGAGAAAACTTAGGGGGATTCACGGCCTCGTGGACCTTCACAACAAAGTGGGTAATTTATACTTTGACCAACACAGTGTTGTGACCAACACTGTGTTGTGACCAACACTGTGTTGTGACCAACACTGTGTTGTGACCAACACTGTGTTGTGACCAACACTGTGTTGTGACCAACACAGTGTTGTGACCAATACAGTGTTGTGACCAACACTGTGTTGTGACCAACACTGTGTTGTGACCAACACTGTGTTGTGACCAACACAGTGTTGTGACCAATACAGTGTTGTGACCAACACAGTGTTGTGACCAACACTGTGTTGTGACCAACACTGTGTTGTGACCAACACTGTGTTGTGACCAACACAGTGTTGTGACCAACACAGTGTTGTGACCAACACAGTGTTGTGACCAACACAGTGTTGTGGCCAACACAGTGTTGTGACCAACACAGTCATGGCCTGCGTCTTTGAAACTCCTCTGATTTTTTTGAACCTTCACTGCTCCTTTAAACCAACTTGCTACTGTAAACCTCCTCTGCTCCTTTAAACTTCCTTTGCTTCTTCGAACCTTGTCTGCTACTTTAAACCTCCCCTATTTGAACCTCTTCTTTAAACATCTGTTGCTCTTTGACTTTCCCGTGTTTTATCAGAGCTGCTTCTGTTAACTTATTTTATAGTACTTTTATTTGTATTTTTGAACCACTCAACCCCCCCCCCCCCGTCTTTTCCTTTAAACCTCCTTCCTTCTTTGAGCCTGCTCTACATCCCCTTCTTATTTAAAATTCTCTATGTGAACCTCTCTCAGTAGTAGTAACCAGTTACCAGTCTCAGTAGTAGTAACCAGTTACCAGTCTCAGTAGTAGTAACCAGTTACCAGTAACCGTCCGTTGACTCAACGACCAACCGTCTCTTGAGTCACGGTCTTTCATATGTGCTGAGCTGACACTATTTCAAAAGACCCACTACTGGGTACTGTGGGCAGTCAGGCAGTCAGTATTACGAGTGTAGCCAAGGAGATAGGTAGGGCTGGCAAGCTCTCAGTAGTAGTAACCAGTTACCAGTCTCAGTAGTAGTAACCAGTTACCAGTCTCAGTAGTAGTAACCAGTTACCAGTAACCGTCCGTTGACTCAACGACCAACCGTCTCTTGAGTCACGGTCTTTCATATGTGCTGAGCTGACACTATTTCAAAAGACCCACTACTGGGTACTGTGGGCAGTCAGGCAGTCAGTATTACGAGTGTAGCCAAGGAGATAGGTAGGGCTGGCAAGGGTTCTCTCC